AACTACTTCTCAGGTGCTGGTGGTAATTAGGCTCCTCTCAAGACTATAAAAGGAACGATTGTGCACACGCCCTTTGGAGGAGTCAATGTATTCACTAGAGCTGGAGAACTCTCGTGGCTAGCTTGGCTGTGCTGGATTGCTGCCAAGGTCTTGCCTGTGTGTTAATAAATCCTTGAAGTATCTTTGTCTCGGCGTGCTTTGGTGTAGGACAAGGGGGGTCAGAACACATATGTACGTTTAGATATAAACCATTCTAAGAACAGCAAAAACGTAAGCACCTCTCTTCTTCCTTTTTGGCAGGTCTGGAGCTACTAAGAGCACTCTGGGTAGCATAAGTTCCCATTTCAGTTACCAGCTTTTGGGCAGGACCCACGGTGATTTCCTCCTCAGGTTTTAGCTCACCAGCTTCTTTCTTAATTTCAGATTCTACTATTGGGATCTGAGTGTAAAAAAGCAGCAGCAGTAAAGTGGTTAAAACACAAACTTGCTTTCTTCTCCTCTCATTCAAGCTTAATATTCTGGAAGCTGTTCAATCTGAACTTACTAGTTTTCAATGTGGTTACAATACATATTAAGAAACATGCTTAGATATGTGCTTGTTACTATGCCAAAGTTAACTTTTTTCCTAGTGGGTTTGGTCCCATGAGAGGGTGAGAGGGAGTCCATGAAAAGCACTTTAACTTCGATAAAAAAGGCTACTGGCAAGCATCACACTCTAGGACTTTTTTTTTGGAAAACCTCTGCCCCCGAGGCTTTGAAAGTATGAGAAGTGCCCTGTATGTTCCTGTGAAGATGACTCAGGTTGTCCCTGACCCATATATGTCCATTTTGTTTTTTCTATAGGGAATCTTAGATTTCATATATTCAACTGATCATTAAGAAATTCCCTAGTAGAGAATAAAACTTTGGTTTGCTTCTTTTGTTTGAGTAAAATCCAGATTGCTCAATTTTGTTCTTTCAAATGTACCACCCATCTGTTCTTATGAGTCAAAACTAACCCAAAACCATGTACACTTTGCATACAGATACATACAGATCTCTCTCTTCTCTCTCTCTCTCTCCATCCCTCCCCCCTCTCTCTGTTGTTTATATTTGACTTCTGGTTGTAACAAAGATGATTTCAAACAATAAGATAAATGCATTACAATCAAAAGATGGGAAAATAAAATATAGGTTTAGGAAATCTGATTATTAATAATCTTATTACCACTGTTTGCATTACATATGTTGCAATGAGAAATGGTTGTAAATTCCAACGGGTTCAAATGAGGAAGTATGTGATAGTGATGGGGATTGATGGTTATCAGCCTTCATGGCAGTGAAGACCATCTGCTGGAAGACTAGTGAGCTTCCTTGTGCAGTTGTTTGGCCACTGTAAGAATAGACTGCTGGAGTGATTAGGGCAGGGATCCAATCCAGCAGAGAATTGTTTATGTTTCTGTTAGTACTCATAAGATCGCAATATTTGTAGAGTTGTGTAAATTTATTTCATTTAAGGTAAAGCCATCTCTTCATTATTACACAAAATTCTTTAGTCAAAAAACTTTGGGAGCAGGAAGACAATTTGGATTTGATCTTGGCTCTCATTAGAATTTTCTGTACCATCTGTTAAACAGTGGATACAAATTCAACATTATCTGAGCTGCTTTGTAAATGTGCTATTGGAAGTCTCATAATTGTCTTCGCTGTACGTTTCCCCAATACCGCTTTCAAGGATTCCCGATTAAAACAAGGGCAGAAAAGAATTATTTCCACTGGGAGCTGAAGGTTGGCAGATACAATCCATTATCTCAAATGCCTTCCCAGTTAATCAATGCTTTTTATAAGAAAGTCCCTATTAATTAGATTTCTGTCAAAAGATTGCTATTAGTTTCCTTCCCCATCAAAGAGATGCTCAATTACTTCAATGTAATGACACTCTGTTCAGAGTTTGAAACTCTACTAGAAATTAGGAATACTATCACGTTGCTTTTTGTTAAAAAAATTCCTAAATGCATCTTCAAGAAACGAAGAACCAGCTTCAAGATTCTATAGAATTTTTTAAAGACCATGATTTTCCTCTCAAATACTGTACATCAATTTAGAAAAATATTTCCAATTAACAAAAGTGCAAACACATACCTCTCCCAATGATCTACGGACCTCTGTCATTACACTTTGTATATCTTCCTGTGTGCTGCAGTATTCACCAAGGATCCAGAGTGCTCCCCGATAAATTCTGCAAAGCAAAGCAAAACAAAATAAACCACAATTGAGACCCAAATTTTTGTTGCTAAGGAAGCCAGTTAAGTGAGTTTTGCCCCATTTTACGACCTTTCTTGCCAGTTATTAAGTGAATCACTGTAATTGTCAAGTTAGCAATATTAAGTGAATCTAGCTATCCCATTGATTTTGCTTGTCAGAAGGCTGCAAAAGGTGATCACATGACCCGGGTCATTGCAACCATCATAAATACATGCCAGTTACCAAGCAGATGAATTTTGATCACGTTACTGTGGGGAATGCTGAATGTGAAAAATGGCCATGTCACTTTTTTCAGTTCTTTGTAACTTCAAAGAGTCCCTAAAGGAATGGCTATATGTCAAGGACTACCTATAATCAGCCAGGTTATTTATGATAATAGCTATGTAAAATAAATAAATCATAACTTAAAGATGGTGTAATTTCCTTCCAAGAAATGCACTTTTCTACTCCATTGATCCAAGAGTGAGAGTCAATTATGCATATAAAAGCAGAAGAGCAGCAAAATAACTCTTCTTCTCTATTTCTTCCTGCCACCAGTAAAAACATCTTTCCAGCAATACAATGAGCTGTATAAATGTCACAGATGCACGCTTGTGTCTAAGTAAAGGAACTGCAAAGAGAGGGCTGCCAGTGCAGGGACAATTTGTCAGGTAGAACAGAAAATGTCACAGGAATGAACTTTCTGCAACTGCCGTATTTTTCGGAGTATAGGATGCACCTTTTTTCCTAAAAAAAGAGGCTGAAAATCTGGGTGCATCTTATACATCGAATACAGCATTTTTTGCCTCCCGAAGCCCCGCCCCTTCACCAAAATGGCTGTGCATAGNCTCTGTGGGATCGCACTGGACGATGGGAGGCTACCGGTGGCAGTAGGTGGTCTTGCAGGTAATGTTTGAACATTACAGTTCAAACTATCCCAAAAGCAATAAACATATACTCGCCTTATTTATCCAATAGCAGATTTACGTGAATGGACAGTGAAGCCAAATTAAAGCAAATTTTAAATCCATTAATTTCTTTAAAGTAATATTAGTAAACTGTACGTCACTGGTGTTCTTTGCACCAACATATCTTATACCATTCCAAGGATATAAGCCTCAAAAAAAGTTTTCAGCAGATGCATCCCAGGCATGAGTAATTAAAAAGGAAGAAGTACCAACAAAGCCCCAAATTAATTCCAGATCTGGATATAAGATCTTACCTTTTCTGGGGTAAGGCATTTCATGTTAGTTGATTTTAAGATATGTTGCAAGTATTCATTCAGGTCCACTATATTGGTATTCACTGTAACCTTCAAAAATAAATAGAAATAAAAAAGAAAGACAAGCTGTCTTTCAATCGATAAACAATCATTGAAGACATGGCTTTTAATCTCAGATTTCTTTAAACATCACTTGGGTTTTTAAATGGTACCATCAATTGTACTCTAAAAGAACCCTAGTTTTCAAATACTTCAACATAGCCTACGAGGATTTGTATCCATATCCATATCAATCAATCAATCTTTTTTTTCCCAATATTTTTGTGGATGGTGATTTCAATATTGAATTATTTAAAACCTGATACTGATCAAATTCATTATTGTTTATAATTAGTGATTTATATTATGTTAACCAGGTATTAATTTAAAGCTTAATAGTGATTTTTAAATTTTTCTTTCAGCAATGTAACACATTTTATAACTTTATAAATAACGAATATATTTTAAGAAAATAATCTCTGTTCCATATTTATGTATTTATATCTTATTAACTATATTTTAGATTTTTATTTTTTTAGATGTCTCATATCCTTCATGGGTTATATGTTTCTTTCTTTAAAATGTTCAGTAATAAAAAGTATAAATATTGAAACAGTTTATAGAGCTCACTTTGTTCTCCCATTCAAATTCTGCCCACATCTGACGGAACTCAGCATCAGTACAAGTAGCAGGCTGGATGTAATCCATGATGTCAATGTGTATGTCACTAAGAACAACACAGTTTCTATCACTGGCTGCTCCAGAAACATCGTATACTAAAAAAAGAGAAACAGAAAAGTTAGTAGAAATTAACAACCTTGTGACAGTTTTGAAGCTGAATAAAACACACAATTTCATTCTGAAAAGTGCCACATTTCTGAAAATAGTATCCCCCAATATTTTAGGTGCTGCTGATTCCTATATTGTAATATACTGTATATAATTTATCCAACCATTCATTCATTTTCTCTGAACAGGGATCTGACACTTTCAAAATCCCATATAATATATAAAATAGAACATTTACCGATGTTGCCAAAAATAATTCCATTTTCAGTGGAAGCTACTTTCACATTTGCTTTTATATTGGCAAAATCATGAGGCGCAAGAGTCAGAGGAGATGGCTTTTCCACCAGCTTCAAGTCACCTAATTAAAATGGTTTGAAGGGAACACGTCAAGACAATGTTAATGAGAATCACAGAAAAAATGTCCAGAAGAAATAAGTAAAAAATAGTGGATTACTTACCCAACGTAGCCAATTCTAGTGTACAATTCTGCAAAGTATCACTGGTCTGGTTTACCACAAGCACATCTAACACAATATCATACTGGTTGACATGGACATATGCTTCGGCGTAGACAGGATCTGAAAAACCTGTCAACTGAGTTACCTATCAAGGATAAGAATTTTGGGAAAAAATGCATATTATTGTTTTTATTAGCAATACAATTTAATCCTCAATAAAGCTCAATAGCAATATAGCAATAGCAATAGCAGTAGACTTATATACCGCTTCATAGG